AATATTCAGTTACATACACAGTGTATGTAACACACAATATATGTATATATATATATATATATATATATATATATATATATATATATATATATATATATATATATGTATGTATATGTATGTGATATATATATATATGTGTGTGTGTGTGTGTGTGTGTGTGTGTGTGTGTGTGTGTGTGTGTGTGTGTGTGTGTGTGTGTGTGTGTGTGCGTGTGTATGTGTATGTATGTATATGACTGTGTATATACTTACCTGTATCTGCAGATATGTAAACTCTCTGGAGTATATTCTCATTCGTTCACAAAATTCTTGAAAGCCCCCCCCCCCTACTTCATAAATAATTAGGAGTTTACAGAAGCGCACAAACAGTATGACAAACAAACGCCCATGCTTCGGCAAACCGCACAAAGGACAAGATACAAACGCACATAATTTGTATGAAAGAGACACTGTGCAAAAAGCCAGTTTATCTTCTGCAGGAAAGTCGACGCGAATGTCATGCAGACGGAATGAGAGCAAAGTTTCATTTCTCAGTCATGCAAATATTGATATGGTATAATGGTATGATATATTGATATGGTAATGGTAACTATCATTAATACTGATGAAGAGTTATTGGTTATTTCAACAGATTCAACTAAATTATTTTATCTGATGATGCTAGGCAAAAATGAACGATAGAAATCATTGATATTAGTAATTAATATGAACATTTGTTTAATTACTGATGTAATACGACTTATGCATATCATATTTATCACTTCAATAAAATGCCATTCTTAAATACGTACATGAAGGAAAAAAAATACTATTGATATGAATACTATTAAAATGAGCTATGGAAATGTCGATCTATATGAAGCGGTTTTTGTTAAGCAGAAATGCACAAGCAATGTCGCAAAAGCAGCACAGTTAAGAAGAGTTCACGTATTCCATCTCGCTGACAAAAGATACGTAACAAAAATTAGTCCATTTAGATTTAGAAACAAGCTAAATCTCTTACAATCCAACCAAGGAAGGGAAAACAGCCAAAGCAATATATATCACAAAGACTGAACAAAACTTTATAGCAACATATGTCACATAATATGGCCAAGGAAGAACACGAAACACAGCATGACACATACCACTGACCCACGCACCTGCGGACGAGGAATGCCATACATAAGAAACTTATAGTACCCAATACCAGGAGGAACTATGGCCAGGCGGAGCTGTTCTTCCGTCTCGTCTTTGCCTATGATGCCCTGTTGGCGAAGGAAAAGGAATTAGAAGGCAAAGATCCCGAGAATGCTTGGACCTCGTTGCCACTTGGAGGTTCCTGAAGCATTATGTCTGTAAGGGTATGCGGGTAAAAAATGATTATAAAGTACGTGAAGTATGATATTTGTAAAGGTATGTGAGTAAAAAATAATCGTAAGGTATTTGAATCACGGTGTTTGTAAGGGCATGCAAGGAGAAATATAATTATAAAGTATGATATCTATAAAGGGTATGTGAGTGAAAAATTATTATAAGGCACTTGGAGTACGGTATTTGTAAGGGTAGGTGAGTAAAAATAATTATAAGGTTCTTGAATCACCTGTATTTATAAGGGTACACGTATATATTGTAATTCTAAAGATTTTTGTGACTTGTTTTTGAAATTTGAAAGTTAGCCGTGTTTGGCTATTATGCCCTATATTATAGGAAAAGGAGGCATAGGGATAGATTATGTGGCTCTGTAGACGTAGGTATTGCTGGAAAGGTACTTGACCTACGATGTTTTAAGGGTACACGATTGTGTTACAGAAGGACTGGCGAAGGAACATTTGGGTGTTTACTAGATGGCATTGCCTGTAAGTTCTTGGCCTTTCTTTGCACATGCCCCTCCCCCCAATATATATATATATATATATATATATATATATATATATATATATATATATATATATATATATATATATACATATATATATATATATATATATATATATATATATATATATATATATATATATATATGTATATATATATAAACAAATAACAAATAGAAAGTTTTTTTTTGTTTGTGTTTGTGGAAATGTTTTGAAATTACTCTTTGCCTTTGATGTCTTGTAAGGAAAGAATTAGGCAAAAGGAATGTGTTTTGCATTTATTTTTAAAAATTGGTTCTTGATCTTTGGCGTTTTGATAGATATGAATTTAGAGAAGCAGATAAAGGAAGATTTGCATGTGTGTGTGTGTGTGTGTGTGTGTGTGTGTGTGTGTGTGTGTGTGTGTGTGTGTGTGTGTGTGTGTGTGTGTGTGTGTGTGTGTGTGTGTGCGCGCGTGTGCGTACGTGTGCGTGTGTGTGTTAGATATAAATTACATAGCTTATTAGACTATACATGATTGTCTTTGTCTGACAATATCTCCCCCTCCCCCTCTCGTTACCCCCCCCCTCCCCTCGCCCTCACCTTGACCTCGAGCATCTGTCCCTCCGCGTCGAAAACCTGGAACATGATGAGGACTTCGAAGGC